TGTAGGGACTGGCGTGCATTAGCAGGTACAGACTTAACCTGGGAGATGGGGCAGTGGGTTTTCAGCCTGTCTCAGCCTTACCTGTCCCATTCTACATGACGTGGGCTGGAGCATCCAAGCATAACTTTCTTTTTACTGGATATTAAGCACTAATACTTGCCTTCTGCTCCCCAGCTGGAGGTGAGCAATTTAATGTATCTTAACATAATGTGACCGAAGCCATAGAATCACAACAAATGGAGAAAATCCTTTTAGTGCCTTTCTCTTGTATCCGTTTCTAAAACAGCAGTTGGAATAAGGACAGCTGTTTGAACACAAGCAATAAACTGACATGAGTGTGACACCGTGTCTATGTGTGTAACTTTAAAGATGGGGAACAGAGAGGCTGAAGGAGGAATCTTCCCTCCCACCTCTGAGTTTTATGGAGATGATACAGTTAAAGAGGCATTGCCTGCAGTTGTGCTTGGGTTTTAGAGCTTTCCTTCTGCAGTAGCAAGGTGGCAGCCAGATTCATTGGATTCATTTACAACCCCCATTTCAGTTACAAAAACATGAAGGAGTAACAAGGTGAGTGCCAGGTAAAACCGCATAAATGACATGCCCTGAAACAAGGAAATGTTTTGAGACTTACCATCAGTTGCCCTTGGGTACCACTGGTGAGAGCAGGAGCCTTCTGCCCAGCATAGGCACAGCTATAGTGAAAGGAATGAGTGCACCTCATTTGGGTGTCTTATAAACAGCCTTTCATCTGGATGGGTCTTAGTGTCATAGGGCAAATCATTGCAGCTGTGGTAGGGCATGGAGGGTAACGTCTCCAGCTGAGGTGATGAGGGATGGAGCCAGGGTAGCCACTAAAACCGAGCTTACTGTTAGCTCCTGTTCCCTGCAGTAAGAGCTTCGCAAACTTGGAAGCTCCAAAATGTCAGTTCCTCAACACTGTATAAAGCATCGCATTCAGCAAGGATTTAGCAAGAGTTTCCTTCTGAATTACTGGTCTCATACACATTTCATAATGGAAACATTTAACAGGAGAGTAGTCTGGGTGAGATGTGCAGAGCAATCTTCTACTTCCCTTACAAAGCCTTCCTAACATTAATACTGTGCTTGGCATGATATTTCAAGTAATGTGTGAGCCATTCAAGATTCCCAGGTGAGTGGCAAGAATGATCAGAGGTCTGAAAACCATCATCTCCAGAGAGGGACCAAAGGAACCAGCTCTATATAGGAGAGGTTACTGGGGGGAGGCTGTGAAAAGTCTTCAAGTGTCTAAGAGGTTGACTGCCAAGAAGAAGGCAATAAATTGGTCTCTAAATCCATCCAGGAGGTAACACCTTTATATTGCAGCAAAGCAGAATTAAGTTACACAGGTAACTTCTTTTTGAGTTGTAAAATATAAGACTGAATGGAAGGCAGTCCTTAAAAAACTAGACAGACATCTCCTAGCAGTGGTTTAGGAGGTGCTGATCCTTCCATAGGGCATGAAAATGAATTTGTTATCTCTCCAGCTCCCTCCCAGACCTAAGTGTGAAGACTCCTTGCAGGTCTCTGGGGATCTGGCTCATCCCCTCACCATGGTATACTAATGGCTGTGGAGCAGACTGCAGAGACAAGGGTGTAAAACTCTGCTTGCCTGCACCCGGCTGATCCGGTGAGCTCTTGGCATTGCCTGCAGAAACACAAAGTATTTCTGGTGTGGGATGGAGGGTGGAGGCGGTGGCACCTTTACACTGCAGAGCTGGGGCTGGCACAGCCTTTGCCCCAGAGGAAGGGGAGGGACGAGTGCAGGCATTAGTAGGGCAAAGGCTGTGTTTTCTGTCGATCCCAACCCCAGAGAGAGAGTTGGCGTGCCCCCTGCGCTTTTAGTAAGGCCAGCGGGGCTGAAAAATGTCTCAGTGCCAAGAGAGGAAACTTTTGAGCAGGCTGCTGCCCTTTGTCCCGCTGTCTGGAGAGCACGGCTCACCCCAGCACCCAGCTGGAGGCAGTCCAGGATGCTCACATGCCTCTGTACCCAGCCAGCAAGGCAGGGCTGCGAGCTCTGCACAGTCCTGGGCTGGAAACGAACTCCAGGGTCTTTGGGAGGAAAGGGGGGATTCTGCTCCTGTGTGCAGTTTTCTCATGTTCATGGGAAATCTCCCACCCCCATGTGCAAGCAGCATGGCCAGGAGCAGGGAGCCGTGCAGGCACATTGGGCACACACCTCCGTGTCTCCTTACCTTGTGCCGGGTGGTCCAGGACATGCAGCAGCCTTGTGTCAGTGGACTTCCTGAATCCCTCATCTGCACTGATCCCTTTGAGTTATTGCTTTCTCCTCTGACATTTGTCCTCTTTCCACCACGCTGTCCTTATCTCTGCAGTGTGACTCTTCTAGTGCTGCTGAGTAGTTGGCCTTGAACTCCACGAAGGGGATTTTCTGCTGTCATTTGTTCCAAATTACAGTGGCTTCAGGGAGCTCTTTGGCTAGTTTCCATCACAACCCGCCAGCTCCCAAACCTGCGCAACTGGGAGGTGGGGCCTCGTGGTGGTAGTGGCTGGGGCACCCTGCATCACTCTCAGAGGACCCGGGCGAAGCGACAGTGCATCCACCACCCTCTGCTCCTGCTGTGCCAAGGACAGGCTGCCCCTCTGTGAATAACCTGTCCCCACCTGGTGCTCCAGGGACTGCGGGGGTGGAAGTAGAGATCACCAGCTCTCCCTAAATCTCCTGAATTTCATCTGCTGCTGCAAAAAGGAGGTCTGTGCCAGAGGTGGGAGCTGGAAGTGTGTTTTCGGGTGTCACCCAGCCGGGACCAGCAGAGGCGGGTGTGCTGCGGTGCTTGCATTGAGCTGGGGCTGCGTGGCGATGGGCGCTGGCATTGTGAGCAGCAGAGCTGTGGGGTGGGCATGCAGGATTGGGTGCTAACCCCAGCAAGGCAGCTCACCACATCCCTACCCACAGCTTCTCTCTCTGCTCCTGTCCTGCCTTCCTAGCCCTTCTCAGCAGCCTGCATCTCTCAACCTAGCCCTTGAGCATATCTGTTACTGCCCAGGTTACTCTGAGTTTGCTTTCCAGCTCTGCTAGTGCTCTTTGTCCTGCCTTGTACTGGGGCTCCCGCAGGCTCGATGCCTCTGAACTCATTCTTTGCATCTTTGGGTGTTAAGACACACTAGCAGGGGATGGACTCATTGGTTTTACAGCTTAACTGGGAAAAAGCCAAGTGTTAGGCAATGCCCCATCCATTTCACCCATGGGAAGTGCACATCTCAGCCCAGTTCCCTGCCTCACTGCACTGGGGGGGTGCAGGAGTGAGGAGGGGGAGCTCAAACCCAGCCCTGTCTTTACAGTGGGGTCTGTGGCTCCCAACTTTGCTTTGCAGGTGGACGCGCCGCAATGACAGCAAAGAAGAATCAGACTCTGCAGAATGGAAGTGCCAAGGTGAGTGCAGGAAGAGGGAGTGAGGGGAGGGCAGAAGTGTGCCAAGGGCACCAGGTAGCACATACTGGCTCTGCTGGATGAATATGAGTCACATCTCATGCTGTTTCATGTGTTCCCCTCTTACCTTTATATGGACCTTTAACTGCAATAATATAAAGCATCATCAAAGGGAAAGGATAAAACCTTTCACTTGCTTGAAATGAAAAGTTTTAGAATGAAGAAAACAAACCTTAGGCAATGTGAGCCCTGGGTGCTACCTGCCGGCAGTGCCTGTTCTTTATCTTTATCCCCACTGCAGCCTTCAAACTTCCAGCAGTTGTGCTGCTGCAGGTGCAGTGCTGCTCTGGACAGCCCAGAGCCTGGGATTGCTGAGCTGTGGGATTTGTGAGAGGGTTGGCTCCCGATCAAGCCAAAATTAGCACAACACAACACAGAACCATAGAGTTTTTATCAAACATGTGGATTCACTGCCCCGTGGTGGTCACAAGTGGAACATGAAGCCAAGCTTGACTTCTAATCCACGGGTGATCAGGGGAAAGCTCAGCTTTTTCTTCTGCTCTGTCCCATGCAACCCAAAGGACTCTTACCTCAGCTGCTGTGATGAGCCAGTGTTCACCCTGGTCCTTTTATGGGGCTGCAGCATCTCGCTGGGTCAGAAGAAGCAGCAGAGCGGGGTGGAAAGACAGAGGGAGTTCCTGGACAGTCAGGCTTGGGATATAGGGCAGTGGGGTCCACCACCTCTCCAGTACTGCCTGTGGTGTCCCTGCTTCTTCAGCAGTAACAGCCAGCCTGGTTGTCCATGGCTGTGCCATACACATCGTAGCTGGGAGACCCTCAGTGGGCTTTGAGAAATGCCTTCCTCCTCCAGCGTGCCCTGAGGTCCTCTGTGATCACTGTAACACACCAAATATCACCATTGTGTGGGCAATGGTGTGTTCCTCAGGGATGGGCTGTTGGCTAACTGATACCCATCTGCCATGCACAGGAGAACGTGGTGCAGAGGGTCCTGCAGCTGCCAGTGGTGAGCTCGACCTGTGAAAGCCTCCAGAAGACCTATGCCAGCACCAAGGAGGCCCACCCGCTCATGGCCTCGGTGTGCGAGGTCTATGAGCGGGGCGTGCAGGGCGCCAGCGCCTTGGCCATGTGGAGCGTGGAGCCGGTGGTGCGCAGGCTGGAGCCCCAGTGTGAGTCCATCCACCGACGGGAATACGGTGGGGTGGGGGACCAGAGCTTCCCTTGGTGAAACAGCACATATGGGACTCCTTGGCACAGCCCAGGAGCTTTTCTCACCAACTCACCTCCATGCCTTTGCCCAAGGCAGTTGCTGTGGCTAACAACCTGGCTTGCTGGGGCTTGGACCACCTGGAGGAGAAGATCCCTGCCCTCCAGTACCCTGTTGACAAGGTAAGTCACAGCCGGGACAGTCTGGGACTTCCCAGTCGCTCTGCAGAGCTCATAGCACATCTCCTCTGGTCTTGTTTCTGGATGTGATGGGCTGCTCAGGGGGAATCAGTGCAGCACCTACAAGCAAGGGTTCCTGCAGCCCAGGGGATGGTTGGAGCACCCCCAAATATAGGCCAGCAGCGTCCTATGTCCCATCCCTGCCAGCCAACTGTGGCATAGGCTGAAGAGAATTGTTATATCCCTTTTGGGTCTGTCTGCTAGCACTGCCATGGCTGGGGTCCCCATGGTCCCTCCAGCTGTCCCATGCCAGCACACTGGCAGGACTGTTCTCCATCTCCACCCGCAGCTTGCGTCTGAACTGAAGGGCACTATCTCCTCCCCACTCCAAAGTGCGAAAAGCACCATTGGCAATTCCATGGATAAGATCATGGAGCTGGCAGCAGAAGGCTATGAGGCCACCAAGAGCACTGTGGAAACAACAGCAAAGTACACAAGGAGGAGCTCAGTGAGCCAGATGGCAGCCGCGGGGGTCGACACGGCCCTGGGAGGGCTGGAGAAGCTGATGGAGTACCTGCTGCCAGAGGACGACGAAGAAGCAGGTAGTCCTGATGCCCAAATCCCATCTGAGAGTATCTGGGGAGGGCTGGCTGCATGTGGGGTGGCACCTTGCTCATGGCAGGAGGAAGTGCCTGGTTTGTGGTACAGGGCTGCCAGAAGGGTTGTCCCACCAGGGTGTAACCCCCCACCACTCTCTTGCCTGTACTCTTCTGCCTTTAGATCAGAAGCCCAAAGAGACACGTGGATCAGCAGTAAAGGTCTCCCAGCAGCAGCCCAGTGCTCCCAGCACTCCCAGTGCTCCCAGCACCCTGGACCGGATTGGTGCCTTGGTTAGCACCGCATCCCACCGCGCTTACCAGCAAACCACCCAAAGCCTCCAGTACGCCAAAGCCAAAGGGCAGGAGCTGGCCACTTGGGTTCCCATCCTGGTGAGTGCCAAAACCCAGCCACCAGGTTCCTGTTCCTTCATACCCTCTTTTGGGCTGATTTTGCTTTTAGATGAGATGTTTCAGTCTCCTTGGAGCACATCCAGGAACAGAGTGGTGGGAGTTGCTGATTCCCCCACTCAGCAGGACAAGCCAGGGCCGGCGGTTCTTGTGGCACATTCACACACAACCTTGTACCATGTTAGCAGGACGAGTTATTTTTAGCCAGTTCCCAATGTATATTGTTGATTTATGACCTTGCCATAACATCCTCCCTAAAGCAAAAAGCCCCTCCAGGGGCCCAGAGGGGATAGGGAGAAGGATGTGGCTCTCTTCTCCCATCCAGCACTGTGGTGGGAACCCCTTCCCTGGCCTATGCCAAAATCTGGGAGCTCCCAGCTGCCCCTCAGGATTTCTTCCCACATACATAAGCAAACCCCTCTGCTCCCCATGCACACCAGGGCCCTGTGAAATCCTCAGACTAAGCAGGATGGGGTAGGTGGGCCCTGCCAGCTCCAGTGGCTTTTTGTTCCCTTTCCAGGGTAGCCTGGCCAAGCCGAGCACACCCGCGGTGCCACAGGTCCATGGTGATGGGCAGAGCACCACAACCGGCTGGCTGAGCCGGCGGCAGAGCAAGGTGCCAGAGCAGAAGCAGGAGAAGGCAGGGAAGAAAGACAACAACCACACCAAGGAGGTATGGAGAAAAGCGGGACTTTTCCCAAAGCATCCTCCTGCCCATGGACCACTCTGGCATGGGGGATGTTCCCTCATCCACTTGTGGACCAGGCCCCCATCCCTGCTGAATCTCGGCAGGAGCTGTGGCTTGAAGGAGACAAGGATAGGTTGGAGGGGGCCGGATGCAGCCCCAGCAACCACCTTCCCCACCCCACAAAAAGCTGGGGACTGGGCAGCCTCTGTGCCAGACAAGGTCACCCTGGCTTGTATATTCATCCTTTCCTACTGTGAGGTCTCAGCACCACACACTCCTTGTAGTCCTTGAACATCCCTGAAAAATCCCACTCCCGTGGTCTTAGCAGCTAGGGGTGGTGGGAGCTGGCGGGGCTGGGAAGAGTCCCCAGCAGCAGCTCCACTGGGACGTGGGGACAGGAAGCAGTGGGTCAGGGTCACTGCCCTTTGCCTCTGCCTGGAGCGGAAGCACAGCCCGGGACAAGGGGTCTCTGGGGGCCTGGGAGTGGGGGGAGCTGGAGTGGAGGGACAGGGAACGACCCAGCAAAGGGCTGTGGTGGCTTTTGCAAGCAGTGAGCTGAAAGCACTCAGGCTTTGGGGTGCAGAGGAGATGGGAAGCCCAGGGCCACCTCTGTCCTGCCTGCTGAGGAAGGGGCTGGTCACTGAGCTGATTTCTCTCACAGGCAGGGGACAGCCCCACTCAGGCAGGGGATGGCCCCGGGCTGGTGAGCAGCATGGCACACAACCTGCAAACTGCCTGCGCTTCTGGTATCTCCAATGTGAAGAAGGTTCCTGCTGTGGCCTGGGATGCAGCGGAGGGGTTGATCCTCTTCACCCCCCGGAGGCTGTCCAAGGCCATGGAGACAGTGGATGGTGTCGGGGGGGCCCCCCGGGGCTAGGGAGACAGTGGATGCTCTCGGTGGGACCCTCGTCAGTGCCCCCAAGCATCTCCTGGGCACTCTGTACAGCTACGTGCCGGTGAGTTTGTCCCCAGCCAGGTCCCTTCCATCCCCAGTGGACCCCGTTTTACCCAACCTCTTCTCATAAGCACCCCATAGTGCCAGGAGGTACCAAAGTGGGGAGATGGGGTGCTGTTGGGATGCTTCAGTCCCACTTTCCTCTTGAGCATCCCCCAAGCCGTTAAGATGAGTCCCTGCCATAGAGCTGGCAGGTTGGCTAGTGGTGACACCTTCACATGGTTCATGCCAAAGCCAGGGTGCAGCCACAAATTCCTGGGAAAGCGAAAGTTCAGGCTGAGACCTTCCTTCCCTTCACTTTCCTTCCCCTGAGACCATTTCTCCATTGCCTCTGCCTGGGAGTCCCTCCACTGGGACTCCTCTGGGGACCAAACTGCCTTGTCCCGTGGTCCCCACAGTTTTAGGGGGCAGAGGGAGAGTGGAGCTGGCAGGCGGATACTGCCCAGCTGAGCACTCACCCCAGCCCTCAGCTCCGCAGGCAGTCGGTGAAGGTAGAGGAAGCAGCTGGGGGCAGCAAGCCCAGCCCAGAGACAGAGCAGAAGGAGGAGGATGCCAAACCTGCCACCCCCTCCACCGAGGAGAAGTCCCAGCTGCGAGGCGACTGGCGGATGTACCGTGGCCATCATCCCCTCTCCTTTCTGGGCCTCGAGGACCCTCTCTTCCTGCGGCACAACCTCTACCGCAGCCCTGCCTTCGAGCCCGAGTGCCCCGTCCCACGGAAATCCGCCTTCGCCCCCTACAACAGGCGGGTGAGCGAGGGCTCCTACCGCTTCAGCCCCGAGACCATGTACAGCCGGGCTTACTATGCCAACCTCTACAGCCCTGCCTTCAAGAAGGACTGAGCTGGTGGGGAGGACGAGCGCATCCCAGCCTTCCTCTAATCCACCATCCCAGTACGCTTTGCCCAGGCCCCCGCCAGCCACCCGCACACACCCCTGTACCGGGACAGGAGCTCAAAGTGGTAGATATATCATGGGATGTTGTCTCCTTCTGGAGTGCACTGGAGCCATGATGGGGGGATAACAGCAGCCCAAAGCCCTGCTGGTGGAAGGAAAAGGTAGGGGGAGGTGGGATTACAGAAGGGAATGAGATGCAGAAAGGGCAGTGAGACCAGAAAAAAGAAGAAAGGACCAGGAAGGACCTCGCATTGGGCCACCCTGGTTCCTGTGGAGCAGATAGCATGGACTAGATGGGCTACAACACTGTGACAGAGCAGGGAGAACAGCAAAGCCATCAGCCATCACCACAGCAAGCCTGGTTCCCCATTCTTCCTCCCTCCATCACCCCTCGGAGGGCCCATCCCTGGGCACAGATTCCTTCAGAAGAGCTGAAGGTCCCCACTGACCAGTGGGACTCTCGAGTCGGAAAGCCCTGGGCACTCACCCCCAGCTGATGGTGGGGTCAGGAAAAAGACCGGTGCTCCTGGAGCCCCTCTCTCCCGCAGGACCGCCTGGCTTCCTGCAACACCTTGTTGTATCTGCTGCAGTAATAAACCTTCCCAAGCTACCACTCACCTCATTTGCTTGGCTGCTTTACGAGAGTGAGCCCAAGAGTGCTAAAAAGAGAGAGCAGAGTGGGGTGAGACACCCAACCTGGGGCCAAGGGACCAAGTACAGGAAACTCGTCCTCAGGTCACTGCTGCAGGGACACTGGGTGCTTGTGGCAGCACCGTACGTGTCTCTTCCCATGCCCTGAGTACAAATTCTCAGCCGCAAGGAACCGGGGGCTTCCTGCCAAAGACAATTTATTGCATTTCCAGAACAGAGCAGGGAAGTCACTGTCCGTACTGCACACACAAACCCAGCACGCCGCTTTCCCAGGCACACAAGTGGAAAGGTTTGGGAAGAAGCAGGGAAAATCCTTCTGGCATCAGAAGGGTTCAGTGATAAGCCCGGCGACCCCTTTTCCCACCTCCCTTCCTGAAGGACAGGCAGCCTCACGGGAGCAGCTTGGGAAGGCGCATGGTGCGATCCCCATCCTGGGAACAACCCACATGCCTCGTTTTTCCCAGGCAGAGCCCGTACAGTGCTTGCACAAGGGAAACTGCTACAGTTGCTGAAAGGCTGTGGGAGAGAGGACCATGGTGGTTCAAAAGCGATGTAGGGGGCATGGGAGGTGTAAGCCCTCACCAAGGTCCTCCAGGGTTGGCCAGTGCTGCAGGCTTGGAGACACTTGGACATGGTGACACAGACGTGGGAACAGCCAGTGGGTCCCTGGTGGAGAAACCTCTACCTTGCCAGTTCATGGGTGCTCCAGCATTATCAGCAAGAGGACTCTGATAGGGTTAAACAGGAATGAGGATCCCAGGGCAGGAGCGAGGGGACAGGGAGCTGGGTGGCTGTGCAGAAGCAGCATGTCCTCCCTGCTCACCGACAGTCCAGGCAGCTCCTGCCAAAGGAGCTGGGGATGATGCTGCCTGGAGCGGTGTCAAAATCACCTGGTGGCTTCCAGTGCTGGAGGATGGAAGGAGAAAGCAGGAGGCACCTAAAAAGCTGGTACGGTGAAGAGTAGAGACTCCAACTCATCATGGAGCCAAGAGGAAGGCACTACAGTCCTCAGCTGCACTGGCTGTGTATGGCAGGACATCCAGACGCCGACATTAGGAGGACAGCAAGGAACCCATCATACTTATGGAAACACACACACCATCTCCACGGACACCCAGGGAGGAGGCTTGGTCCAACCAGACAGCACAGAGAGAAGCAACACCCCATGCCGTAGCTCAGAGAGAGTCTGTTCGCTTACGGGCAAACACAGCCGACATGGTCTTGACGATGCCACGAATCCCTGTGCCCTTTTTCAGTGCCAGTTTGCTGTCGGGGATGCGCTCGGCCAGTCCATGGAAGACCATGAGGGCCCCGTGATAAGCCTCGGCTGCAGAGACCTCATAGAAACCACAGTCTAAAGAGAGGGCCAGGAGCCGACCCTCCTCACTGGACACCACCCGCTGGTGGTGCAGATCCCGTTTGTTGCCCACAATGACGATGGGCACCTTCTCCTGGCTCTGCCCCTCCTTGGTCGCCTTGATGACCTGGATTTTGAGGGGCAGGATGTTGAAGCTGGCGCGGTCGCAGATGCTGTAGACAAGGACAAAGCTGTCTGCCCACTGGATTCGCTTCTCCTCTGAGGAGCCCTCCTCTGCCTGCTCCTGGGGAAAGACAAAAGGAAGGTTTCATTACCCTCCTTTCATTCCCTTCCTGCACACCTGCTAGCATGGGGCACAGTGATCCTGGATTGAGTCCAAGCTGATACCATCAGTGCTGCAGCCCCAGCATCCTCAGTCAGAGGTCCATGGGCTACAGTGACTATTGCTACCCTGCCAACACTGCTGCCCTGTACTCTGCAGGCAAAAAGGTTTTAGTTGCCTACAAACCATCTGACACAAGAGTTTTGCCTACACTTATGAATTCCCCCTGTGTAACTTTTAGTAGAGGGGTTTTTTTCTCCCTGGGGTGAAAACAGGTGATGGGAGAGGAGCCCTCTCACCTGGGAACTGGGGACATCCCAGATGTGAAAGAGAATCTCTCGGCCGTCCACTGTCAGGGTGTGGCTGTAGATGAATTCTGCCAAAAAATCAGAATGAAAATGGTCATCTTCACAGACCCAAGAGATAACTCCCTCAACCTACATCTTTTCTTCCTGGGGACAAGCCTTTCACATCCACCCTGGGAGTCCATGCTCTACAAGGCAAGGTCTGGGGGCTCTTCATACAGCAACAGCCATGAGGAGCATGGTGGTATCCAGGGCTGTGACCACCCCAGCCTGCCTCCATCCCAGAGTTCAGTTTAGGCACACTGGTGCCACCAGCTGCCACCCAGAGAAGCAGTTCTGGAGCAAAGAGAAGGGTTGCTAAACAAATACAACCATCGAGGCACCCAGAAGTAAGCAAAGGCTCTGAAGAAGGGCAGGAGAGCAATGAGATAATGTGATATGGGAAGCAATGAAATCCCACAGGCAGAAGCAGGCTCCACTCCTGACCCCAGTCCCTAACGGGAACCAGCCTGGCCCTGGCCTGGCACTCACCCATGTCTCCGTACTCCCCGATAAAGCGCCGCGTGAGGAAACGCACGGTCAGAGCTGCAGAGGGGAGAATGAGAATCATCAGCATAACCCTACACCTGAAGGATTTTCTTTCTTAAATCTGAACAGAGTTGGGTGCCATCCCCCTATGAACTCCCACCAGCAGGAACGACCTCCAGTTTTCTCCCAGCCCTTGGCAGGTCTGCAGGCAGAGCAGAAGCACAGCACAAACTGGAGCATCAGCAAACTGCAGCTCAGCAGAAAATACCTTCCCCCATCACTCGCCCGCTGCCTGCAAGATTGTTCTCGGCTTCCCCACGTCCAGTCACCACCACACCTGAAAGCTCAACCTCATCTCACCAGCTTGCTCCACGGGCTTCCTCTCTGTAGCTTGCTCTCCAAATGCTGCTGCAGTTTTCAGCCTTTTTTTGGGGGGGATGGGGGGGAGAAAGGGATCTCTCTGCCTGGGAACCCCCTGCTCCCCAGCTTACAGTCAGTTCTTACCCGATTTCCCCACGTTGTCCGCTCCCATGATGAGGACATTTGCTTCCATCTTCAGGGCAGTGGGGCCAGGCACCTCCATGAGGGCAGGGTGGTCGGGGGTGAAGCTGGCACTCCGGCGCAGTTGAAGCCGAAGCCCCATACTGAGCACAGCTGTGCCTGGCCAACAGTCCCAGCAGCGTCTGTGTCTCCTCTCTGCACAGCCAAAGAGCCAGCACTTCCCACGGCACCCAGGGGACCAGCAAGGGCCATACCCCTCCCCGCAGTCACAGGGGCGGTGCAGCCAGAGCTGCAGGCAGCCAAATGAAAAACTTCATTATCGCTCAGATCATCCAAAACATACATCGGTGCCTGGAGCTGGCCCTGCCATCACCCAGCACGGCAGGCGGCCAGGAAGCACTGTCTGGCTGCATCAACTGCTCCACAAACTGCACTGCAGGATGCTGCCCACGTCTGCACCTCAAGCATGCTGTCCAACAGCAGGGCCACGTAGCCCCTCGTCCCTTCCCCATGGTGACCGTGGGAATGCCTGCGACGAGTGGTGGAGCATCTTGTGAGCGAGGGAGTGTTGTCTCACAAGGGATGGAGCATTTTATGAGTGATGGAGTATTGTTCCACGAGTGGTGCGGCATCTCACAAGTGATATAACATCTTGTGAATGATGGAGCATCTCACGAGTGATGGAGCGTTGTCTCCCAAGTGATGATGGAGCATCTCAGGAGTGACGGAGCATTGTTTCACAAGCTGTGGACCATCTCACGAGTGACGGAGGGCTGTCTCCCAAGTGATGATGGAGCATCTCAGGCATGACGGAGCGTTGACCCCAAAGTGGTGGAGCATCTCACAAGAGATGAAGTGTTTTGCGAATGAAAGAGCATCTCACGAATGCTAGAGCGCTGTCTCCCAAGTGATGGAGCATCCCATCAGTGCCGGAGCGTCTGGAGGGCACCCCACCCTTTGCCCCCGCC